GGCCAACCTTCCCAGTTCTATCTCCTATGGGGCCTGCTCCTGCCCTGCACCCCAGTTGTGCTCTCTCAGAGCACTGGGGTTTTGTATATGCCAGTTCTTCTGCCTAAAACCTCCCTTCCCACTTAATTCACTCCTATCATCCTTCCATTCCAAGTTCAAGCAGTACTTCCTCAGGGAACCTTTGCTGACCCTCACACAGGTTATATCCCTCAGTTATACGCTTTCCCAGGTAGGTCCCTACCAGCTCTTCTGTAGCACCCATCAGTGACAATTTTACATTTATTTGTGTGAATATTTGTTTAATATTTGCCTCTCTCTCTCTTTGAGTACAGAACTCTAAGAGGGCTAATCCTTATCTGGTTTTGCTTACCAGTCAATCCTTATTGCCCAGCACAACACACACAGCACAGCTTATAATCAGAATGCAACAAACAACAGACTGATTGAAAAGTTTAACATTTCCTATGACTCCACATAAGGTAAATAAGGAAACAGCTTAGTGAAGCTAAATAACTTGTTCAAGTTATCAGCAGGGAAATGGTGAATCTGAGATTTGATCCCAGGTCCATTCCTACCAGGTTAGATGACCCTCCGTGAAACACCAGGAAAATCCAGTCAGGCTCATCCTTGCCTCCCGCAAGAACTGAATCTGTACACGGTGAGGGAGCAGCACAGAATGGCTCTTGGCCCATGTAACTTCATCAGGGGCTACAGTGAAAGGAGCCCTGGCTGGGAGGCCTTGTTACCACTCCTGTCGGGATCTGGATTTTCCTCTCTGAAAAATGGAACTCTCTATCTAGAAGGACTCTCAGGCTTGAGGGTGGCAGGCGGAGGACTGGTGAGACTCACCGGGGATACCCGCAGATTCTCCTCCACCAAGGCCTCCCGTAGCACCAAATGCCCAGTACTCTGTAGCTGCTGCAGGGAGATCACCAGGGTCCCCAGAGACCTGAGGATGTGGCAAGGGGCAGAAGAATGACCCAGGAGAATATACCCCCTTACCATGTCCAACCCCACCTGCATCCTTGGCTCCCCCAGGCCTACTCACCTGGGACTGAACACACGGCTACAGTTAACCACCTGCACAGACAGACATTCCGCATCTAGTGGAGCCCCATAGTGTGGCCAGCGGAACAGCTGCGGATACGAGGAACCTTGTGACATACAATGCTGGGCTGACCCCCAATCCAGAGCCTATCCTAGCCCTCAAATAGATCCAACCCTCCAAAGTTGGAGCTAACTCTATAACCAATGTCCCAAACCTGGAACAACCCCTCCCCCCAACACAGGGTTGACTGCAAACTAGGGCTGATCTGAGGGTAACTACCAATCAAGAGCTAATCCCCCCAGTCTTGATTTTGACTGGGTCTGGCTTCTCAAGCCTGAGACGGGCCCCACTTCCTGAGAAGACAGCTCCCCAAACCCAGGAATATGCCCCCCAACTCACCTAAGGAGGAACTTACATGAGGCACAGATCAACGTCTCCCTATCCAGGACCCAACCCCACTCACCTCACCAATATCTGCTTCTCGACCACAGTGAATTTTCCTTGTTTTCTGGGTGAAGCCTGCTCAGAATGGAAACTAGTCAGTTATCAGCCCCTCCCCACAAAAAAAAATCACACACACACATACCCAGCTCAGGATCCAGTCCCCCTGGGCTTACCCTTGGGGAAAGGTAGAAGATGGAGAGGGAAAGAGGCAGACAAATAGGTTAGAGGAGAAAAGAGACAGGCTGGACGGAAGACTAGGCACTGGATTGGGGGCCTAGGGAATGGAGGAATGGGAGTCCCCCGTTACAAAAATCCTTAGATTTTTAGTCTACAAGACTCACCCCGAAAGCTAAGCCTCACTTGTCGGTCATGGGTGCCTGGCAGCCCTGTAAGTCGCCGCACACACACGGTCAGAGCCATTGTCCCAGGGCCACTGGCTCTCCCTCTGCTTGCCTGCCCTCCTGCCCACCTGCCTGCTCACCTGAATCGCCTCTGACTCACTGGACTCACTGAACAGGTCCAGCAATCCCTGCCCTTTAGTCAAACATACCGGCAGGCTTAGGGGTCATGGGTGGAGACAGAGCTGAAGGACTGAGAGAAGGGGGTAAAGTCCCTGTGGTCAGCTTGGTCCTTCCTGCCTCCACCAGCTTCAGCCTCCACCTTGCCTCCACCCTGTGAAGTGGGAGCTGGGATAGGGTAGAGATGGAGTCAAGCGGAGAGACAAGACCCTAGTTTGTCCCCGCTAGCCAATGGAGGCCTCAAGGGCATGGGTCTCACAGTGCTTCTTTTTCATCTCTCTGTCCTCAGTGCCCAGCTCAGGGTCTGGTATGTGGTAGACCCTCAAAAAACTTTTTAAATAAATGACTGGATTAATAAATGAATTCCCCTAGCCCCCAGCATTAGTGCTACAGGCACTCAACACATTTGAAATAATGAGTGACTGAATGTGTGTCCCTAGCTTGCACTTAGCAGGTGTTCAAAATACTTCCTAACCAGAAGCCTCAGGTCCTTAACTTGGGGTCTTACATAGATAGGCTGCAGGGAGCCTTCAAACTCTTGAAATTGCCTATATAATATTGAGCAATTGTGCATTATTCTGGACATTAAGCTCCTCCCACATCCTTAAACACATGTGCAGTACTTTTACTAAATGAAATAATGAATGTATCTGATAGTCTGAACCCATGTGTGATTGTAACTATGTGTTGAGTGTGTATCTTGGCCATCCATTTAATTATCCTATTTAGTGACTCCTCCTATATACAGGACTTGTGCTATGCAACCCTCTGGGGGAAGGGGTGCAGCCACAGAGGTGAATTGGACATGTTCTCTGTCTTCCAGTAGCTTCATGAACTCCAACACCAAACAAGGCCTAGAAAGACTATAATTCCCATCAGAGCAGGAAAGAGTCAGGACTCAGGAGTTCAAGAAGAGGGAGGCCAGAGGTGCTTAAAATGGGTTTTGAGGGGGCACCTGCCTGGCTCAGTCAGTAGAACATATGACTCTTGATCTCAGGGTGATGAGTTTAAGCCCCACATTGGGAATGGAGCCTACTTAAAAAAATAAATAATAAAAAAAATAAAACGGACTTTAAGGACAGGAGTTGAGCAGAGGACATCCAGGCAGTGGGAAGGAATGCAGGGTGTGTTTTGGGACCTGTGATTTGTCATTTTGACTTGTGTACAAGGAATGTCTTAGGCAGCAGCAGAGATAAGATTAGACCATTAGAGGAACTGGGTCTTGCTATGTGGCTTTGAGCCAGGCATGGTGCCTCCTTATGCTTCAGCTTCTCCATCTCAATAATGGGGTTGGAAAGTCCTGTTCTGTGTCCCAGGTGTTAGTTGCTCAATTGAGTTTTGAAGTCTATAAAACACCAGACAAACAGGCATAGGTTGTTCTGTTTCTTAAGCACGGTCCAGGTTAGATCTCAAGGTTCCAGATGTTGGGGGAGGGCTTCCCCTCCTCCACTGACATATGGGGGCACTGAGATCCAAAGGAGGGCAGAAGGGGGACCAGAATTCTTAGCTCACAGTGCCCTGGACTTTCCCTACCTTTAATCCTGAACTCTGTGACATCTAATCAAGCAAGGTGTTGAAGCCACCCCTCTGGAAGCTAATGCAGGCACCTCCCCTTCTGGGCAGGAACACACCCTGGCAAGTTCTCACTCTACCTCCACCCCTCTAAGAACTGACACTTCACTTCCTAACTTTCCAAAGAAGATGGGATGTGGCAGAGAGAGTATGGACTCTAGGGCAAGATTTTGGAACTCTAATCTCTTATCACATACTGTGTGGTCTCTGGAAAGTCCTTTCCCCTTTCTGGATCTATTTGCCTAGCTATGTAATGTGCATATGCACTACATTGCCTGCCCGCCCTCCTTCCTTCCTTCCTTCCTTCCTTCCTTCCTTCCTTCCTTCCTTCCTTCCTTCCTTCCTCTCTCCTCTCTCTTTTTGCATTGCTTTTCAAAGTGTAATCCTTCATCAGGATCACACATGTGGTTGTTAAAAATGCATATTCCTGGGGCACCTGGGTGGCTCAGTCGGTTAAGCGTCTGACTTCGGCTCAGGTCATGATCTCATGGTTCATGGGTTCGGGCCCTGCATCGGGCTCTGTGCTGACAGCTAGCTCAGAGCCTGGAGCCTGATTCAGATTCAGATTCTGTATCCCCCCCTCTCTCTGACCCTCCCCTGCTCATGCTGTATCTCTCTCTCAGAAATAATACAAAAAAATGCATATTCCTGCACCCACTCAAGAAATGCTAAAGTAGATTCTCAAACTGACCTGGGAAACTGAATTTCTATTCTGTTGCATAGCAGGAGTCTGGGAACTCTGATCTCCTGGCTGTGACTTTCTGTGATTCCTCATTGCATTTTCAATATCTCAGATGGTTGGTCTGAGTGTGGGTATGGTGTTTGGTGCATACTGAAGCCTTAGCCCACAGACCCCTGGTGAATATGGGTCTGGGAGAGGGAACCACAGATCCTAAGGTCAGACAAGGATAGCCTGGCCTGACGACAAGGATGAAAAGAGGGACCTGAAGGGTTTGCAGAGCAAAAGAAACTAAATGCTTACTTATATGTGCCCTGGGTGACCTCCTGCACCTCCTTAACATTCATTCATTAGGCCTATCTAGGTCCTGGGATATACACTAGTGAACAAAACAAAAATCCCTGCCTTCATAAACTTTATGTTCTAGTGGGTGTGACAGGCAATGAAGAAATATATAAGTAAGATATATAGCATGTTGGTGATATAAGCTGAAGGGAAAAACAAAGCAGGAAAGGGGATATAAATTTTTTCACGGGAAGTGCAGAAGATGGGGCATTTTGGGAAGTGATGTGATGTAATCACTTGCTTTAACATGGGAAAGAATGAGAGACTGCCAGGCTCCCGGGGACGTCATGACTAGCTCTGTGACGCACCGTTAGGGAGTTCCATAGAGATCACGGGCTCCTTTATGACGTCAGCAGCCGGATCCAGATACAGGGGAGAGGGTTGGATCCCGCCTGGGGGCCCGCCGGCTGCAAGCAGGGTCCGTGAGGTCTCCGCGGCGCACATCGGCTGAAGGAGGGCCTTGGCGGCTTCGGCGGCGACTTTGGCGTCCGTGACAGGGCGCCCCGGGGTCAGGATGCGGCGGAGCCCCCGACCGGGCTCGGCGGCGTCCTCGCATAAGCACACGCCTAACTTCTACAGCGACAACAGCAATAGCTCACTGAATGCCACCTCGGAGGACAGCAGCGGGCACCGGTCAGCTAGGCCGGGGCCCGGGGAGCCCGAGGGCAGAAGAGCCCGGGGCTCGAGCTGCGGTGAGCCCGCCTTGAGCGCAGGAGTGCCCGGAGGAACCACACGGGCTGGAAGCTCTCGGCAGAAGCCGGCGCCTCGGAGCCACAAAGGGCAGACCGCCTGTGGCGCGGCAACCGTGAGGGGCGGGGCCTCGGGTGCGGGCGGGGTCGAACCCGGGAGAGCTGAGGGAGGGGGCGGGGAATAAGGGGCGGGGCTTGGCACGGAACCGGGATAAATATCGGAGCACCTACTAGGGGGCTGGGCCTGTAGGGTGAAGAGGGGAGGCACCAAATAAAATTCCCTAAGGGGAGGGATCTTGGTTTGATGGACGGTCCTGGGAAGGGGGCGGGGAAAATTCTGATTGGACACCACTAAGGAAGCGCGGCCTTGGTGTTAACATAAGTGGCTACCAGCGAAATGGGGCAGCACCAAGACTTGCCTGGGGGCGGGGCCTCCGTTTGTCAGGGGGACCGTTGTCTTGACTGAGCACCCCCTGAGGGGCGGGGCCTCAGAGTGCTGAGACTTGGAGCGTGCATGCAGTCGGACCAATGCCTGTTTGGGGAGGGGGTACTGCCCAGCTTCTGGGCTGGGAACCTGCGGACTGATCCCTGGGAAAGAGTGGAACTGCCTTGCGCAAGGCCCCAATGGCGCCCTTGGGCTCCCGCAGAACTGGCTGGCTCTCCCGTAGTCTCTGAGGAGCAGTTCGACCTTCTCCCGACCGTGGATCTGAGGCAGGAGATGCCTCCACCGCGCGTGTCCAAGAGCTTCTTGAGTACGGGCCAGGCCAGCCCGGAAACCCTCTGACCCTCCAGCTCCCCTCTCTGCACTCCGGTTCTCATTTCTGAGATCCTGTTCGTTTGAAGTCCCTGGCCCATGTCAGTCTCCAGCCCCTTCCGTGAGCGCGATCCACCTTCTTTGAGCCTGAACTCATTCTCCTTGCCCCTATCTAATTCTCCTAGCCCACTCCCGTCTTCCCGAGCCTCTCCTGAACCTCGAACCCCACGCTTACCGAGCCCTTCTTCACCTCTGCCCACTCTGAGCCCCCTCCCCTCTCCCCAGGCCTGCTGCTCCAGGTGCTGAGCGTGTTGTTGTCCCTGGGAGGAGACGTGCTGGTCATTGTGTACAGGTCAGAGGGAGGGAATCGGGAGCCTCAGGGGCTGCTCTTTGGAGGGGGTCGGGAGCAAAGCAGGACCAGCAGAGACTTGACCCTGACTCAGATCTGGCTGAGTCGTGTCTGCGGCAGTTGGGTCTAGGACCCTGGCGCGGGAGCTGCTGGGTTCACGAGGGTCTGGGGCCTCAGCCTCCCTCCGGTTCTTCAGGGAGGTCTGTTCCATCCGCTTCCTGCTCACGGCCATGTCACTGCTGAGCCTCTTTCTGGCAGGTGAGGGGGTGGCGAATCCCCTGGGGGCCCCGCCCTGGATGCTTTGGAGCTAAACTCGGCACATTTTCTCCTATATCCCTCAGCCCCCTCAGCGCCTTCAGCTGCTCACAGTCCCTTTCAGAACCCCCTCAAGCCTGTTCCCTCCTCACTGCCCCTTTATGCCAGAGAAACCCTCTCCCTTGGCTTCCCCTGAGAACACCCCTCTTTCCCCAGCACTCTGGTGGGGGCTGCTGTACCTGGTTCCGCCTTTGGAGAATGTGAGTCAGGGCGTCTGTATCCCAGGGTGGGTGGATGGCAGAGTATGATCCTGGAGGTTTTGTGGGTCCCCTTGGCTGGTGGGAGGGGAACAAGTGCTGGATATTCCTAAGGAAGGGCTGGGTATAGACAGATCTCTGAAGGATTGTGCCCAGAAGCGGTTGGGGTTCTCTGAGAGGTCCTAGCAGGTCGGGAGGTGGGGGCGGTCTTCAAAAAGAAGGCCCTTTGAGTCCCGCTGCTTCCATGGTAAAGAGGGAGAAGGGGGTGGGTGGGGAGCTGAGCAGTGCTGTATTTTATGCCTCCCTCCCTCCAATAGGAACCTAAGGAGATGCTGACTCTAAGGTGAAAGAGGGCACCTGGGGTGGGGAGTTAGGGGTCTCCAAGGTGCTTCTGTGCGGGGCCTTCCGGGAGGCGCCCAGGAGGACCGGGAGCCAACCCCGCGGGGCCGACCTCCCCCCTGCAGAGAGTACCACGAGCGCGTGCACTCCCAAGGGCAGCAGCTGCAGCAGCTCCAGGCCGAGTTGGACAAACTGCACAAGGAGGTGTCCAGCGTTCGCGCAGCCAACAGCGAGGTGAGCCCGGTAGCCTCCTCTTGTCCAGCGCGCCGCCCTGTGGCTCGGGCCACCTCTGAGTCCGGGTCCACCTCGGAAGCCCCCTGAGGACCGGCGCTCCCTGGGTCGGGAGCCATAAACTCCGCCCCGGAGCCTCGACTTCGGGGTTCCTCCCGGGACCCACAGAGTCCATCGCAGAGAACCTAGCCCCAGAACCCTGCCTCCCTGTAAACCTGCCCGCTGGCTCCGTCCCTCCACTCTCTTTTCAGAGAGTGGCCAAGCTCGTATTCCAGAGATTGAATGAAGACTTTGTGAGGAAACCTGACTATGCGCTGAGCTCTGTGGGTAAGACCCAGAGACACTGCGAGAATGAGACTCAGGGACACGGAAGAGACGGAGACCTTGACACAGACAGACCTACGCACACGACCGGTCCAAAGAGACCGCCCTCAGAGACCCTGCCCCAGCTGTCGGTCAGGACTGGGAGCCCTGAATGATTGCTTCTCCCTGCTCCAGGAGCCTCCATCGACCTAGAGAAAACATCACACGACTATGAGGTTGCGAACACTGCCTACTTCTGGAATCGCTTCAGCTTCTGGAACTACGCTCGGCCGCCAACAGTTATCCTGGAGGTGGGCCTGGAACCTGGATCCCAGAACGGGACCAGGGGCGGGACTCTGGGGAAAGGACCCAACAGCTCCCTGGAGGTGGGACCCGGCTGAGCTGAGGGCGTGGCGCTGGGCGGGGCCCTGCCTGGCAGATGCCCGGTCTGGCGGAGCTCGGGACTGGACAGGATCTGGCTGGGTATAGACCCGGGGTGGAGGACTGGGCGGGGCCGATGAAGGGGTTGAGCTGAAGGCGGGACCTATCCGAAGACTGGGAAAGGGCCGCAGTCGCTCGGTCCGTGGGTTCTGAAGGTCTACCTGCTCGCATGCAGCCAGGTGTGTTCCCTGGGAATTGCTGGGCTTTTGAGGGCGACCAGGGCCAGGTCGTGATCCGGCTACCGGGTCGTGTGCAACTGAGTGACATCACCCTGCAGCACCCACCGCCCAGTGTGGCACACACTGGGGGAGCCAACAGCGCCCCCCGCGACTTCGCAGTCTATGTGAGTGAGGCTAAGGCTAAGGAGGTGGGGGGTGGGGTAGGATTTTGCCTAGAAAGCTCCAGTTATGAAAATTGGTGTCACCAAGTCTTCGCTCGCTCATCTACAAAATGGAGATACTACCCACTTGCCTCTCAGGCCTACAGGTTATAAATAATTATAACCATATCCAAACATTAGTTATAGCTTTATTGAGCACTTATTCTGTGCTGAGTTCTTTAAATGGGTCATCTTGCACCCACTCAACAACCTATGGAGTGCTATCATCTCCCTCGTCACTGATGAGTAAATGCTCAGAAAGGCGATCTTATTTGCCAAGGTCGCACAGCTAACAATTGGCCAGACTAAACTTTGCAACCTGGTTTGTTGGAGCCCACATTCCACGCTACACTATCCTAAAGCCAAAAAATAAAGGAGAGTGTGCAGCTTTTGCACACCATAGTAGGTCCTCAGTAAAGTTACTTTCTTCCTCTTCCACCTGTGCCTCACTGTTCCCCACTCACTCTTCACCTACCAGGGCCTCCAGGTTGATGATGAGACTGAAGTTTTCTTGGGGAAATTCACCTTCGATGTGGAGAAATCAGAGATTCAGACTTTCCACTTACAGGTGTGTGTCTCTGGGGGTGAGGGTGCTAAAGGAATGGGACAGTGAGGGAAGATTGGGGAGGAAGGCAGCCCTGGGACTGCAGGCCTTGGCATGATCCATTTGTCTTCCCAGAATGACCCCCCAGCTGCCTTTCCCAAGGTGAAGATCCAGATTCTAAGCAACTGGGGCCACCCCCGTTTCACATGCTTGTATCGAGTCCGAGCCCATGGCATGCGAACTTCAGAGGGGGTAGGGGACAGTGCCACAGGGGAACCCCATTAAACATGTTGATTGTTGGAGTAGAGTACAGGTCTGTGCTTAAAGAAGCTGGAACCATACTGAGGTGTCTCTTGGGGGGATATCTGGTTGCCTTTGGCATATTAGTTGGGGGGTCTACTTTCCAATGCGCCCTCTTATTGGAGAAGTCCAGATCAATACAGTAGCAGCAGCTCATGTTTATGGAGTGCTTGTCACGTGCAAGAGATGGTGTTCTGAACATGCTACACATGGACTAACAAATCCTCACAACCACAGAAGAGGAAACCACTCAGGTCAGGAAACGCTCAAGATCATAGTTAGTGAAGAATAGGGACATAGGATTCAAACCTACCTTCCCCCAAAGGCCACCCACTTTAACTCAGAGCTGCCAGTCAGCTTGAAGCCATGTTTGTGCAGCTCAATTCCTACCCCCAACCTCTGGAAAAGTCTCCTCAACTCCTGCTAGGTGCAGGTGGAAAGGTTAACTGCTCCTTTTCTTTAGATAAACACTCAAAAACTAAGGAGACTTGAGAACCTCTAGGAAGCATCTGGGTTGATGCAGGCCTGGTAGCCCTACTCAGGTTGTCTTTGCTGCTAGGCACAGTACAGGTAGCCTAGTGTTCAATCTATCCTTGCCCTCAGGGAGCCTAGTAGGGGAGAGTGCTCCAGAAACAACAATTTATTTATTGATTCAAGAATTCTTTATTCTAGGAATCCAATTAGAATTGGAAGAATAAAAGATGGAGGAGACAGGCATCAAAAGATTAATGATTAGAAAAGGGGGACCAGCATGGGCAAAAGAATATGCAACACCTTGGGCTTTTTAGGATCCTTCTCAGCGTGTTCATGTTTTGGAAGAATATACAGACTATGAAAAGTGGTTACACCTCTAGGAAGTGGAATGCATGAGTGTGAGGGTGAAGCACATATCCACTTGTTTAAAATTTCAGGGTATTACTTTTTAAAAATGTTTTTCTTTTTTTAAGTTTATTTCTTTTGAGAGAGAGAGAGAGAGAGCAAGCACGAGCAAACTTGGGAGGGTCAGAGAGAGAAGGAAAAAGAGAGAGAGAATCCCAAGCAGGCTCCAACATGGTCAGCTGGGAGCCCCACATGGGGCAAACTCATGAACCATGAGACCATGACCTGAGCTGAAATCAAGAGTGGGGCACTCCTCAGGGTTATTTATTATCTTTGTAATTTAAATTACTCTACTGAGTGCTCTCAAAGCCTAAGGTTAGAAATATGAACTGCAGGCTAAATATTTGGCTTACATTTGGTCCTTGTATTTTTAAAAATAGTTAATGTCTCTAGTCATCTGGCCAGGAATATCCAATTTATTTGATTAGGGCTATGCTGTCAGAGGTATCCTTAATTCAACAACCCCTAAGGTGGACAAACTGAGGCTCAGAAGAAATAAAGATGGTTAATAGCGGATTCCAACTTAAAAACACGGAGTGGTGGCAAAGCAATGATTTTTATTGAATGAAAGACTCCAGGGGCAAGCAGGAGAGATCAAGAGCAACAATAGCAGGGGCAAATATAAAAATATAAAATGTAAAGTGCAAGCACTGGGCAATGTGTTCAGGGTTGAGTCATATCCTTGGGGGACACGAGGCTGAGGACTAGCCACAGCCAACCCCTAAGGGATTCTAGGCCTGAGGGGCCTGTGCAGGGCCCTTGGCTGGGGGTAGAAGTGGCTTGAATGGGGCCCAACCTTGGGCCTTGAAGTAGGAGACCAGCTGTGAGGGTACCTCTGCGAGCACAGTCTGTGCTAGTGCCTCCCGAGGGGCCTGCCAGGAGAAGAAAGGCAAGGTCAGTGATGGCCCCCAACAGTTTCCCATAGTCTACATTTCATACCAAAGAAAGGATACAAACCCCAACACCCGAACTTGCCCAGACTTAGATGAAAGGGTGAGTATCTCCATTCAGAGAGAAGTGGAGGGGTAAACTCCCAGATCTGTCTGCCCCCCACAAACTTGCCCTCACTCACATTCTGGAAGCGGCGGTAGGGCACAAACTGCACTATATCACGGGCAGCTGCCTCCCCGGAGCGTGTATGCAGGGGTCCACCATCAGCATCCAGCTGCTCCATGGCCTCGAAGTCAGCACCACCCACACCCACGATGATCACTGACATGGGCAAGTGTGAAGCACGCACCACAGCCTCACGTGTAGCCTCCACATCTGTTACAGCACCATCGGTCAGCAGCAGCAGCACGAAGTATTGCTGGGGATAAGCCATTCATAAACTGAGGCAGACCCTCTAAACATCCCAGCTACACATCCCCACACTGACAAGAATTCCCCTGTTACATAACCCTGAAGGGAGCCCTTGACCAAGATCACCCACCACTACCTCTACTTATGATCCTCACCGAGGCAGTCCTCTGATGTGCAGCCTGGGTTGCAAACCTGGCCACATGGTTGATGATGGGTGCAAAGTTAGTGGGGCCATAGAGACGAACTTGGGGCAGGGCTTGGCGGTAGGCATCCACAATGCCCTGGATGCCTAGAAAAGGAGGGCAAAAAACAAAGAGACAAACAAAAAAAGCTTAAAGACTGAGCCTCTTCAGGGTTCAGTCCTGACTTTACCCCATCCTGGCCAGGGAGATATGGTAACCTGGGTACATTTCATTCAGTTACCCCTATAACCTTAGGTACTTAACCTTATCCTACAGATGGAAAAATTAAGACCAGAGAGGAAGGGCACTTGCCCTAAATCACAACATCAATTAAAACTAACGGGTCTCCTGGGGCGCCTGGGTGGCTTAGTCGGTTAAGCGTCCGACTTTCGCTTAGGTCATGATCTCACGGTTCGTGGGTTCGAGCCCCGTGTCGGGCTCTGTGCTGACTGCCAGCTCAGAGCCTGGAGCCTGTTTCGGTCTGTGTCTCCCTCTCTCTCTGACCCTCCCCTGCTCATGCTGTCTCTCTCTCTCTCTCTCCTAGAAATAAATAAAACATTAAAAAAAAATGAATTATAATCCATTTCATAAAATAAGAATCTATAGATATTAAATAATTAATGGGAAAGAGGCAGCTCTTAATTTTTTTCCTGACCTCCCACCTCCCCCCGCCATAACTCAGTCCAAGACGCTCTTCCTTAATAAATGTAGAAGTAGTAATTACAAAATCATTTGACAATCATAGAGAAAACTGATTCATGCGAAGATCATCAATGGGTGCTAACACTAGAAAGTCCTAGTTGATGAGTAACTGGATATTTATATAGCTTCAAAGTATCTTCCCAAAAGATATTAGTTATAAATAGTGAAGAAACCTGGTAGACTCTACCTGAACCAAGTGATCAAAGTTAACATGACTGGTAATAAGATAAATCAACATCATGGGCCTCCTGACATGGTGCACTGAGAAGAACGTCCACCAAAAGTGCCTAATCTGAACCTAACCATAAGGAAATACCAGGTAAACACAAACCACGGGACATTCTACAAATTATCTAGCCTATAAACTTAAAAAACATTAATTATCATGAAAGACATGAAGAACTCTGGAAGACAAAACAAATGAATGCGTTATGCAATCTGGGATTTCCTTTATGCTGTAAAAGACAGCTGGCAAAACTTGAATAAATTCTAGATTGGATAATATTATTGATGTTAATTTCCTGATTTTGGGAAACACACACTTAAGTATTTAGGGATAAAGGGAACAAAGTTGGTGGGGCCTCAGAGGCAAACTTGGGGTAGGACTTATATAGTTTGAGACTATAATTCTCAAACATTTCTGGAAAAAAAATATGTATGGGTCTGGATACATAGATCACTTTAGTTTGTTGTCTATGTTGGGGGAGCCACGAGGTTTGGCCCTTTCTAAACAAAACAGCTTGGGTAAACGTACCCTGAAAAGAGCTGAACTAAGGCTTTCACTGATGCCCAGATAAGCACCAGTGAGCTTCCAGACAAAGATGAAAATAGAGAGCATTTAATATGTGCCAGGCTTACTTCTTCAAACTTTACATATATCTTTATGGAATACAAGATATTCCTTAAATATTCAATGTCTTGTAATATTTATCCTTTTTATGAAGCCAAAGCACACTGGAACCAAGTCACATGGTTTTAGCAAGAGGGAAGATAAAGATTTGAAACCTAGATTTGAGTCGAGACCTAGCTCTAAAATCCACTCCTCTGGACAACAGAATCAGATATCTGCCCCTACTACCCCCACGTTCGTCTGCACAGGCGTGACCCTCTAGGTGTAGACAGATCTTCCTTATGTTGGAGGCTGGAGGAACTTACCTGTGCAGTAGGGATTATTGGGGTTGAAGTTCAAGGCAAATTCATGGGAGACCTGAGGGCAAGAATGAAAATGAGGTTCTTTCCCTATGGTCGTATTTGTGCAAAGAAAAAGGACACTATGGTATATGCCAAGCATTATATAGGAACCATTTAGTCCTGAGTACTTGTTGTACATATGCCTGTAGGGATACATCCCTGTATCTCCACATAAAGCTGGGTGCCAGACAGCAAATCAATGGCATCCCCCCAAATCAGGACCCTGACACTGAAAATGGAGGAGCTGGGGAGGAGTGCTCACCTGCCAATCAGGGGGCACCTGGGCCCCAAATCCAAATGCTGGGAAGAGCTTGTCCCTGTGGGAAGACACTGAGTTGGAGAAGAGGCAGAGAGGGAACTGTGAGCCCAGAGGCTGAAACATCTGCAGGGAGGGGGACGGGCAAAAGAACAAGTTACTCACGAATCATAGTCCTGAATTACGCTGCCCACACTCCACAGTGCTGTCAGGTACTCATTGACCCCTGTTGGGCTCAGGTAGTGCAGGGAGTCCGGGGAGGAAGGGTCTCCATTGGAGCCCGTGAAGTCTATACCTACCTGGGAGAAAGGGAGGAGGGAAGCTGAAGACTACTTTGAGCTCCAGATCTGTTCTCTTGCCCTTGATATAGCAACTTACAGTGAAGTTGATTTGACAGCCTCCCATCACATAGTCCAGGAATGAATACTGTGTTTCTACCTGTAGATGAAACCAGGATCATGGCTGGGGTGAAGAAATTGGGATCATGGAGCACAG